CCGGTTGAGTGATTGGACCAATGGCCTGCCACACACCCATCATCCCACTGACACACCTGACGTGCACACATCACCGGTGCCTGCCAAGAGGAGATAATCCAGTAAGGACACTCAACCGCTGCTGCTGACACCTCTGTGATGTGAATGTGAAATAGTTAATTCCATTTGATGGTTTAATGCTTATGACGATGAAATATTATCTAGTGTGCACTCTCATACACGCACACACACGCACATGTAGGGGCATCGTGGATGTTTGTATTGCTCCTTTTGCATCGTAAAAAACTTGTCAAGTACTCTCGTAGGCGTTGGTACACATGCCAAATAAACTTTCATTCTCGTTAAGTTCTTTTTGAAGTGTGTAGGTGACCTATTGGTCGGCGTTTTGACCGTCAAGGGGGAAAGGACGAGGGTTGCGGTCGAGGAGAGGAGGAAAAGGAGGTGACGATCCCTAAGGCGACCTCTACTCTGCAGGAAGCAATGACGTCTTTGATAAAAGCTCGATTACCCATTGTTTCATCTGCTTCGCGATGGCACAATTTGATTTGATAATGACTGAGCAGCAATTCTCCCTCTTTCCACACCTAAGGAAAGACTTTTTTGTCTCTTTCTTTTGGATAACATTGCCACGCAGTTGAGGTACTTGAGAAAGTTTGTCTACTAATCGTGGGGAATATGATTTCATAAATGGCCTTGGTGTAGCTTTGTCATGGCGCAAAAAAATTCCTACTTCCCTTACAAGTCTTCCTCCTCCTCCTCCTCCTCCTCCTCCTCATCATCATCATCATCATCATCATTTCCTCCTCGTTGTGCGCCTCCCACCCCCACTACCGCCACCACCACCTCCTCCCCCTCCGCGTTTCTCGCAGTAGTTGAAAAGTGACTACGTGATCTGATTGACTAACAGACGCAAAGACGAGCTACATTTTGTTCGCTAGCGCACTATCAGTTGGTAGCAGTAAATGGCGTTGACGCAGGCGCTTAGTTACGGGCACCGATCACAGTCTGCAACGCCTAGCAATACGGTCT